GGGAGGTTCCTGCCTGTGTCTACGGTACTCTTCTAGCTCAAAAAAGAAGCGTTCGGAAATTCGTCTGGCTCCACTTGGGGGACCAAGGGGGCCACCCTCGGAAAATTTTGAAAAATTGCGTCACCTCAAGACAGGGCCGGATTTACTTACTTGCCGCCCATGGGCCGCCTATATTTTGCCGCCCCCTTCTAATTCGTTTTGAAACATCAATAAGAACCATCAAATGAACGTGCCGGAGGAGGAGGGGTTCATAAGACGCGTTTACTCGCGTTGGACACATTTTTTGCGAGAGCCCTGTCAACACTATACTAGCAAAAGTTCCCTGAACTTAGTGCGAAAGTTAAGTTCCGTAAACCTATCTCTGTGTGGACAAGGCCTTCCATTTATATGAAATGAACGTAAAAATAATGACAGAACAAACATAAATGTGCTCTAATAATTTTAACTTCCGCCGCCGCGCCGCGCTGACAGCTCTGTGTTAGGCGCAATGCGTGAAGTATTCCTACAGTCTTGTATGCGTTATGGGCTTCACGCCGACCGCTCCTGCACGCACTGCGTTTGACGCAATGCATGAAGTATTCATGCAGTCTTGTAGGCGCTATGCGTTTCACGCCGCGCCGTCCGCTGCTGACTGCAGCGACCGCACTGTCTTTGACGCAATGCGTGAAGTATTCATGCAGTCTTGTAGGCGCTAATATGTGTTGCATGCCGACCGCCGCGCCGAGGGTTTCTCCGTTTCATCTTATCTTAAGTTATCGTCATCATTGCTCTCTGCGCCGCGCCATTCCAGGCCAAATTCCGGGTTCGGTTTCTCTCTCATTGTTAGTCTTAACTCGACTAATTAAAGGTGCTGTCTATTGTATCACAGAAAGACGACTTTAGAAATATACTCTCAGGAAATGAAAGATTTTGTCACCTTTTCTCGTTTGTAATTTTTTTTTCTGATTCCGATTTTTCTATATAGCTACATTTAAAAATATTGCAAAATTTGCCGCCCCGTAAATTTGCCACCATGGGCCGCGGCCCATGTGGCCACCCACCCCCTAAATCTAGCCCTGTCTCAGGAGCAATTTTGAGCCGTTTCTCATCGAAAAATCAATCCATTTCCTATAGCCATGATGAGAGATGTGTCATGCACCTACTTAGCAAAACCCCTCACATTTCTTGGGAGAGGCCAACTAGATTTGGGGGGAAACGCTCCCCCCTCCCCCGCCTCTCTACTTACGCCCATAATGCCGCACAACTTATTTTCGAAATAAGTCAAATTTTACTTCTGCAAGTTTCCCACTGTGTAACCATGATTGCCAACTGACAAGCGGATGAGTTCGCACTTTTGCTACACGTCATTTTAGCTGACTTGTAGGAGGGGGGGGGGCAACTTTTTGAGAGACATCAATTTGAAACTCAAAGAGAGGTCATAGAGAATATACCAAAATTCTCGTAAAAAACAATAATATTGCTGTGTCAGATTTTACAAGACAGGCAGGCAGATGATTCACGTCTGTGTTAGCAAATCCACCACTATGATGAACCCATAGTAGCACTTAGCAGATTATGATTTTATCTACTCAGAATTGGTAGATATAAATATCTATGATAAGGATGTCCGGAAAATGCTAATGGTCTGTAGCTCGGATTGTGAACAGAATGGTTAACATACCAAAGTTTTTTCTCGACCGAAATTTGTATATTACAATATATTTAAACATATACAGCGTGAAAGTAAGGAAATGGAAGGAGAAGTAACGTACGATAAGAAAGAGAAAATTGTCGGAGTATATTCAATGGATAACTTCACTTTTTGAGTTCACGTTACTTCAGTTTTAAGTCCTTCTCCCCTTTTTCTCATGTCGGATAAACTCCAGTTCCTGGAAATGAAACCGTACATTTGTGAATTACTTAAGTGCTGAAATGAGACACTGACAAGACAAGAGTAAAGGAGAAAGTGCGGCGGTTTGTATGTGAATGTGTTGAATCAGATTTTCGTTTGATTTTCAAAATTTGGCCGGCAGAGATCTCCATGTCTAGGTAACTCCAAGATCCGAGGGAGTCGATTTTATACGGCCTGCTTTCAAACAAGAGAGTTTCGACTACGAATCATAGTATTAAGTTTCATGTAAATGGATTCGCCTTCATTTGAGAGGATCGGCAAAATGTGCACCCACGAGCAATAATAGTGGTACCTCAATAACAGGTGATTCGTTATTTTGATACCCCATTATTCCAACGAGGAAAACAATCGCAACTATTCCGACGAAAAGGAGCCCATATTCGTCTATACTATCGATAAAGGCAATCATTTTCATTTTCATGCACATCCATGATTAATTAAGAATAAATCGAGAGCCTGTTGACGGTCCAGAAAAACCACACTTAAAAAAAAAAAAAAGTCTTTTGGATTCAGAGTCCAGACTCCTAAAAACTTTGACGGTTTGTGAATGCAATTATTCCGATATTATACTCCTAGCTGGTCGGACTGAAAACAAAGCGTCATAAACGAACACTACTCACCTCATCTTTCCTTTGACGGAGGGAATCGATCGCAGGTTCTTTGAAATTTGAATCTAAAGCAGGATCATCTGGGACTTTCGCGACTAAAGCGGTTTCCTGCAAGAGGACCAGTTCCACGACATAAAAAGAAATGATTATAAGAAATTAAAAGAAAAAAAAATTAGAGAATATCTGAATGAAGTTTGGGTTGAACCGCAGCGCACTTATAGTGCGGCATGTCCAATTGTCCATATACACCGGCAATACTTTGAACCAAGTTAGAACTATTTTCCGGTTCATGGGGGCAATGATATCATTAATTTTTTCGGGAGTCTGGCAGCATTACAACATAACCATGCCTGAGGTTGAAAAATGCGTATTTTCGCTGAAACGTGTAAAAAAGCGCCGATTACTTTTTATTTTTTGAAAGAAAATTATCCAAAGTGCCCACATCTTTAAAAATTTCTCTGGGTGTAATTGAATTATTGCAAAAATGTACTCAAAATTTCAAGAAAAATGGTTGGTTTCCCTTTAAAAAGAATAAAACACGAGTAAATTCGAGATGCACATTTTTTGACTATAGCCATTGATAAGATGATCAAATTTTTATGGGGGGAGGGGGTGGTGAGCATTCTAGAAAGTTGGCACGACTACCCTTCTCCCACATCAATAAGTGGATAAATATTTGTAGGGTACTTGGAAGGAGAGCTCCCACAACACATAACTTTTAGTTTCCACATGGTGCTACAATCATTACAGACCGAAGTTGGTAGTATTAGAGAGCGGAAAGAAAAGTTGAATTAACAATGCGGTAAATTTTGAAAACTTAACATGCACATTCACTTACCTGTTCAAATTGACTGGTGAAAATCTGCTTGTATTTTTCGAAGGATCCAGGACCATTTACCTCTGTTCTTTGCTCAATGTTTGCAAAGGAGTCAGTTCCAGCAGGAATGAAAAGAGGTTTATTATGATCTAAATTTACGACTTTACTGAAAAGAAGAGAACGAAAGAGCTCAGAAAAAGAAAATTGTGAAATTACCGTCAGTAACTTACGAATTGACGGTACATTTGCTCGTATGAAACAATGCTGTTTGTTTACATGACTAAGGGCAATCCCCCCGCACACTGAAGTATTGCCCTCGATTAATTTATGTATTAATATTAGTTCTTATCGTGGGATTAATATAAATTATGAACACGGCTTTGAGATCTGATAATTTAAGAAGAATAGAAGTTTTAAACAATTTATATACTTTGAACTTATGAGGAGAACAAATAATTTCTATTAAAAAGGGGAAAACATACATAATATTTTCCAGTTTTAGATCAACAATATTATTGTCTTTCCAGATTCTTCAACATTGTTAGCGACAAACGTTAGCATGATTACCAACAAATATTAGCTATTGCTTTCCATGGTTGACGTTGACGCTCGTTCGGAGAAAGAGCGTCAATTCAAATATCGCGCGCTTCCGTCGTCGTGATTTCCCGCTCACTCATTGGCTCACTGCTCGATGTTGCGCGGTGGAATGGCGCGAAACGCACGCGGTTGCCAAATTGACGCTCTCTCAACGCACATGCGTTTGTAGGGAGGAAAATACGTCAGCCACATTTTCAAAGTAGGTAGTAGCTTTTGCACGATACCCCTGATGACAGCATGTCAGAATGTAATCAAATCAAATCAATTTGGGTAGTGTTATTAAATTAGAATTTCACTCACTCATGAACGGTTGATTTTGGATTGATTAGAAATTCTTTAGTCTTTTTAGTCAAGCTGGCATCATTGGATGAATAAAAAATTATCGAGGCGCCGTTTAAATGAGCAACAAATCTTAAGCACTGACAGACTATTCGTTTTTTCTGAGGTTCCAGACTTTGGAATTTGTCGTATTTTCCACCGATAATAACCAGAGGCACGGGAAAGGGTTCTTGACCATTTTCTTTCTGAAACACAAAAACACTGTTATGCTGTTGACAATTTGTAAAAATCCTCGATACTAAAATTATGGCGCCCAGAGGGTACAAATGACGTGTATGACATGACATAGCTATGGCCAAAGTGCGAAACCAAGCATCTCTGTTTGCGACAGGGCCGGATTAAGGGGATGGCCACATGGGCCGCGGCCCATGGCGGCAAAATGTAGGGGCGGCAAATTTTGCAATTGTTTTGAATGTAGGTATCGAAAAGAGAGAGAAAAAAATCTGATTCAGAAAATAAAGTACCAACGAGAAAAGACGACAAAATCTCTCATTTCCTGAGAGTAAAAGCACAGTAATTTCTAATTTTGTCGTCTTTCGGTGATACAAGAGACAACACCTTTAATTAATCGAGTTAAGAGAGAAACCAAACACGCAATTTGACCTTGGAACGGAGCGGCGCGGCTGTCGGCATAAAACTCATAGCGCCTACAAGACTGCATTAATACTTCACGCATTGCGTCAAACAGTGTGGTCAGTAGCGGTCGGCGTGAAACGCATAGCGCCTACAAGACTGCATGAATACTTCACGCATTGCGCCAATACAGTGCGGTCGGCGCGGCGGTGGAAGTTAACATTTTTAACCACATTTATGTTTGTTCTTTCATACATTTTTCGTTCGTTTTTTATAAGTGGAAGGCCTTGTCCAAACAGGGATGGGTTTACGGAACTGAACTCTTGTTGGTGTTGACAGGGCTTTCACAAAAAATGTGCCCAACGCGAGTAAACGCGTCTCATGCACCCCTCCCCACCTCTGCCACAAACTCTGAGAGACCTTCTTCTCCCACTTACATGGAATTTCAGCACAATTTGGCTGCTATGAGAAACTAAAACAACTAAATATCATAGCTACTCAATAGTCTAAAATCATAAATGTAACGCATATAGTCATAACGCGTTACGCACAGATTGAGGCGCTTTGGGATGTGGGCTGCGAAGAGATCGTACTTGCAATTAAACAAGGTCAAAATGGTCATTCACTTACGGAGGAAAAATATAAAAATTTGGGACGAAAACAAGGGACGAATGTATTTCTGGTGTTAAATTTTGATAATTTAATATAAAATCAGGACTTACCTCATAATGAGGAGCCTCAAGTTTGCTGATAGATTTATTTTCTAGGACAGCAGTCTTTGCAGCACGGAGGCATGCCTCTAATGTGTTCCACAGGCTCTTCAACGATGATAAATCTAACATTAAGACAATCATCAATGAATTGACCTTTAAGTTTGACAAAACTGAGATCATCGGAGTAGATGAGATGCCACCTCCTAGTTCCCAAACGTGAAAAACATCCTTTACCTAGATGCAAAAATCAGCAGGACTGAGCGACTTACATGAGAAAAGGATGCCATTCTTTACTTTAAGAACGAGCTACACACAGTGGTCTTGATGAAGCAAAAAAAAAAATCGACAAAAATGTACCCAAAAACGGTTTGCGGACGGTCTGAAAGCGTTTTATGTGCGAAAACAATTCGCCTTCAGCTGCTTCTTTGTGATTATTACTCCCAGGTTTTATATTCCTTTCAAGTATTGTCATGCTAAGTAAGAACATTGTATGGACATTCGAGAGCTGCCAAATTTCCTCCTATAAAATATTCATTTTTGAGGAGTGGAATGAACATTTCCTCTAGAAATTTTCAGAAAATTCACATCTGATCGCGAAAAAATCCATATTAAATTGAGGGAAACTTGGTAACGTCTGAGATCTCATAGACGTTCTTCCTTGATGACATGGCGACATATAGGAGCAAAACATATCGCTGACGACTCCTCAACTCGCGGAACGCATATCGCCGCACGGGCTAAGTAGCCGAAGCGCCTTCATTATTTCGTATATGCATTATGGACATCTACAGAGCTTGAATAGTTGCATTCAGGCGTTGCCTTGGTGATTATTTTGTGTCCGCGCACCAAGATATTAGCTGGAAGCGACTAGCTTTGGTTTTTAGGAAATGCATCCCGGGGAAAAGAGACTTGGGTTTACGTTGGAAAATGTTTTTATAGTAGGTAGGTAAGTCGAATTGGGTCGAAAAAATCAAATTCCGAGGTTTTGACGGAAAGCTCATAAGCATTCCAAAGAATAGGAGGAGTAGACGTTCAGAATATCTAAAGTGCCATCAGATGTTGCAAAGATTGTGCATGAGGTTTCTCATCATGGTAGGATTTCAATGGGTATAATCAGGGTTTCGGCTTTAATTGCCTCTTCTTAACTGTTCGTTAAGGCTAGCGTCCCTTGCTATTTCCGAACCAATGGTAGGTATCCAATCCATGAAGATGTACGTAGTCAGTGACAAAAGCCTCCTCAGAATTGTCAAAGAGATTATAAATTATTTTTCTTTAAAAAAATTTTGCAGTGCATACGTACATCCTCTTTCAAGAGGATTCCTGATTGGTATACTGGTTTTAGTCAGTAACTGTAGACAATTTAAAATAAGAAGTAAACTAATGACGTAAGGACACTTACGAGACTTTTGCTGGATTTTCTAAAAAATACATGCTCCAAAGCTAAGGTTGGTTTCGGAACTTCATTTTTATCAAAAAATTGAAGTATTAAAGATGATTTACCCTTGAAAAATAGATAAATAAATGAGTATAGTTGGCATTAACAAAAATTACATTTGCGCGTTGATAGGCAGACATTTTTTTCACTGAAAATTGTTCAATGTTATATGTTTCTTTAAAATGAAATTATTCATGCAGTACCTACTAAGATCGTATGCAATGGACAATTGCCTCAAAAATAGCAAACTTGGCACAGGTAGATAATTTAGAGTAGCTGATGCTCTTTAAAAATAAAAACTAGAAGAGAAGCAAAAACCACGGTGCACTTCATCTGAGTAAAACAACAAGAGAGTCTTAAAAAACAAAATTTGGTGACATGCACTGTGGCGTCTGATCTGGGGGAAAAAACAAACAAGGAAACATCATGATTAAAAGAAAAATTACTTGATTATTTTTTACTAATCTATCGAAACACTAAGAACCATAAACGTGTTAAGTTTCCTCCTCCCTCAATTCATGCACCAAGGAAAACAGTAAAATTCTGTTTTAATAAAATAAAGTTATCTTGGTTTACCTAAAATCATGATAATTAATAAAAAATCAGGCTTCAAATTGGTATCGGTAATCTTAATTGAGGCACAGGTACAAATTTTATTTATTCATGCAGAAGGAATAGAATATTCTTACAACAGATTCATCACCGATGAAGAACAGAGCATACTCATTTGATGAGCCTCCTTTGGACAGAGCACGACTCTTTGCAATCGATTTGGCTACATCTCGAATAACCGGACTTCTGTGTAAAAAATATATTTAAAAGATACGAGTGATTATGAGTGGGTAAAATATTTTTGGATGGAAGAGCGGGCATTAAGACTACAAATTATACAGAATGCTGTGCTGAGGAGGAGCTCTTCGTAGGTAAGATTCTTCATTTTCAAATAAATGAGTATGTATTCCATCTATTATGGGTGCAAAATTTCATTTTTTTTCTTCAAAACTAACAAGGTGTTGTATGATAAATATGTTTCTTTTGAAGAAGAATTACTGAGATTCTGTGGATACAGAACTACAACAGTATACGTATTTTAGAAGTAATTCATGAGGGATTTTATAGGCCAAAAAAATTCCATAGAGTTAGAGAGGAGCAGAGGGAACTACACACATGCCAAATAATTGCGACTTGCAGTCAACATTACTTTCACAGTTTTTCTCAGTAAGATATTTTTTGAAGAGTATGGCAGCTTACCTAGACATTGGGTTCCTCAGAGCATGACAAATTTACTATTAATATCTAATTTTCTCCTTTAGGGCAGGTTAAGGTGCTCTATGTTTACATATAAACGAGGTTTATGAAGCAGCAACATGTTCCTCAAGATTGTGATAGCCCAATACTGAAACTCATGACCGGAGACCAGCAACTGTTATGTTATTATTTGTGTGATGCCTTGTCACCATGGTAACCACAGGTTTAAACACAAAATTGGGTTATTCTCGGCTATACATAGCAGAATGAGTGAGAAAAGAACTTGTTCTGGTGAAAATGTTTATATTTTGGTATTTCATGTTTTTTGTTTCACTGCATTTTCCGAAGGAAATGCACTATTTCTTTTTTGTAAATAAGCTTTTATCTTCTATTTAATGTCAGAGAATTGAATATTTTCATACGGAACATTCAGAAAAACAAACAGTATTTTGAAATAGCTATTTACTGTGGAATACTTATTTTCTTAAAGAACATTTAATATTACCTTGGAACTGAACATTTTTTTAGAAAAATTTGAAACCGCTGAACAACTGAGCTTCCACGTTGACAAAAATACCTTCATTATGACTAAGTATTATCATAGTTGAAGTAAAAAATGATGTGGAACTATGTTCTCTAATAGGACTTTTACAATTGAAAAGCAAGTGCTCGGCCTTAATCCGTGAAAATTTGTAAGCCCGAGCATGGATGTCTACCAAACTCCCTGATGTCTTCGGACAATAAATAGTGCCTATAGATGGCTGTAGATTCCGAAAGGAATAGAAGCCACTAAACTCTCAATAAAAAAAAAAAAAAAAAAAAGCAAGTGACCGTTAAATACAAAAACAAAAAACAAAAAAAAATATTACATGGATGCATCACTGTCTAAAACGAATGAACCTTTTGAACTTCTTGAGAAAGAGTGCAAATCCATCATTCTAGACCTGAGTGAGTGAGTGCATGACTTACTTCCTTAAAAATTAAAAGTAGGAAAAGAAGAATATTGTTTCATTAATTAACGACCTTTATTAAATTAAAATTCACAAATATTTTTCCTTTTTTTTTCAAAAAAAAAAATCACTACTTGGACCTGATTGCATCAATCAATAATCAATAACAAACAATAAATCTATTGCAATAGTTGCTTTGAACAATCATTCCCCTAAACAATACAAAACATTATTTTAAATAACTAGCTAGATAACGGACAAAAAACTTAAATTTCAGGCACAAAAAATTCCTCATTTATAATTTAATGCTCTCTTCAAGTTTGTTACTTCAAGCAGGCACAATTCAAATCTATAAGTCGAGCACCGTAGGCATGAGGATTGTTTAAACTGATAATTATTTCAATTTTCAAACCATGGTATTGAACAGTCCCAAAAATGTATGTTAAAGACAAGGGCTGGATCTCTTGAAGTAGATATGTGAGACATTTACGAAACTTTAATATTAAACAGGGTGACAGTTTTCTTGAATTTCAAAATTTTTTGCATACAGTAATTTTGCAACAAAATTTTCAGAAGTTTTGCATCTGTGATGGTTTCAGTTTGATGGCTCAGTCATGTGAGAAGTATGCCTTTATGCTAATGTGTCCCTTTAACATTCCACTTACCCGTGCCGGGCCCGTGCCCAGGCCGTTCATAAAATAAGTTACGCTCTAGGTTAGAGGGAGGGTCAAGGAGAGCATTACGCCATTTTCTTTTTATGCTTCAAAGTATCGGGACCAAAATTACGAAAGCGTTGACAATAAAGGGGAAGGGGGGGGGATCGAATAATCTGAAATTTTGCAATACGTTTTTAATGAACAGCCCCTTAAAACTTCTGAGCAAACTTACAATAGGAGCACTAGTCAACAATTTCTTAAAATTCCAATCCTATCTTGTAAATATATATTTATAATTTCTGACTAAGCAATATTTTGCTTTAAAACACTAAATTTATAAAAATAGAAATGAATGCGTAGTATATGAAATCAGTTCAAAATAACTTTGTAAAACTAATTATACGATTTTGAAAGCCCTCGAAGATTAATTTAGAAATCAATTTCTTACTTTTGTTTCCTTTAAAACTTCCTCTTCTAATAAAAGTCACTATTTGAAAACGAATCCTGCACTACTTTCTTTAGTTTTTGAGTCAGTTGTTGCTTCTCTTTCTACTGCTCACGACCTCAGAGGCTTCTGTACAAAAAAATTATAGACTTAGAGTGTACTTCAGTCTTTGAAAAATAAATTTGAGATGCAAATGATACACCTCAGTCTGAGGGAAAAAAATATTCATTTGATTCAAGTACAGGCTTGGACGGATTTGTACACATTTCTCTGATAAGGAGTTCACGGGTCAATCAACTCCCCTTGATGATTAAAAAAAAATTAATAATAACTATAATTGAGTATCAAAAGTAATCTGCCCAGTTATATGAATAGCAGAAGAACTTAATGTTTTAATCAATGTTGCTAAAGAAATGTTTCTCCAGGTAGATCTGATTATGCGATAGTAAAAAATATAAACTGAGTCAACACTTGAATTTCCTAAAAAAATATCTCCTTAAAAAACCACAATTTATTTCTGGCTAACAATTTTGATAAGAGGCTTCCTAATGGCTTCCATCGTTTTCGCTGGCACAACTTCATTCATGAGTTTCATGAATTTTGGCTCTCGGGCTAGAACACTAAATAGTTCTTTAGCATATGCCCTGAAAAAATTTAAAAAAAGAGATTAGATAAGAGATGTTAAAAGAAGTACATGCAAAATAATCACATACTAACACACTATAATCTGTCATGACTTAAATACATGTATTAAACATTTAATTCTGATCATTTGTTGTTAGTTATTCATCTGAAATTTTCCCTGAGATTTTATTTCCTGCCTCAAACAGCCTGAAAATTTAATCCTCCTAATTTTAAACACTTGAAGGGTTGATAAGAAGCACAATAAGTGTAACTTGTTAGTTAAAGGTTGATAAGTATATTAGAGAAAAATAAAAGCTGATATGGAAAAACTAGGAGGCTACTCCCCATGGCCATTATGCAGTCTAACCTCCAGATGGCTTTTTGCCGGCCCCCGTAAGTTAATGCAAATAAAGCAAGCTCATCTAAATACTATCTTCTGTCAATAGCGGCAAAAATCTTGAGAAACTGCCTGGTGGATCTTTAGAACGAACTGTGACAAAAAATGAACAATTAAATTTTTCAAATGGAAGAATTCACAACTTAATCACATAATATGAAAAATAACTTGAGTTTTATTTCCAAAATCAAATAGATTAATCTTATCTAGGGACCATTGACTGATGATAGCCGCAAAAATCATATGTAAAACGGCAGAACAAACTAAGTGCAAATTCAGGGGCTCAGAGAGCTTATAGTAATGATAATTGAGGACACATACCTTGTTTCTAAACTGCCTTCAAGAAGGAATTTTGCTGCTGCATTGAGTAATAAGTCTCTCGTGTCCCTTGGAAAAGCATACACTTGCCCTACACTGAGATTCTGGCAAAGTCGAGCTAATAATCGACAAACAGTGGTTCGAACAACTGCGTTTCGATGCCTGAGACAAAAAAGGGTCAAGATTAGAAAAAGCAAGAACATTAATGTGGAAAACTAGATGTTTGAGATACCTCCTAGTACTACTCCTTACTTTGAATAAATTGCTCTAACATGCAGTACTTTATGATAGGCTCGAGTTGCTGCATAGCTAAAATTATCAATCCATGAGAGAGTGTTCAAGTCTTAAGAAACACTCTCAATAAGCACCCAATGGCAAAATGGTTTGAGTCTGCATTACAGTCATCTCAAATATTTTGGTATTGAAAATCACTATGGTGGAGTGAAAAAAAATTCACTTATTGTTTCTTCAGGATTTCGTGACAAACTGAAGGTCTCAGTTGAACAGAAATGTACCAATTTGCATCAACTTTAATAATGTAATGGTAATATAATGACAGTTTTAAGTGTTAATAGTGATTTCATGAACTTAAGAGGGAACTGAATATGAAGTGCAAACTTACTTGGCTCCTTTGAGAAGTAAAAACGTGGCACTACGAATTGGGGTGACATTATCTATCATGCTATCTAAGGCGGAGTTGGCATCATGCTGTAAAAATTTATTGGCATCACAGGTGCGAGACAGAAGTGCAGGAGCAAGTTCCTCTACTTCCTGCGAATCACAGCATGTAAAGAAAAAAAGGACTTAATGAATTGAATATTATGAAAGATGCGCAAATAGTCGAATTTATTACAGCTTCCTAAAAAAATTGGACAGTGCCATAAAAGAAGGCTCTCATTGCCGTATTTACTTTTTAATAATTTCACCCAGGAAGGTGGAAATATTCTGGACCAGTCCCACTTACTTTACAGTGATATAAAAATGTTCGAAGAGCACCTTCCAGAGCGCAGGCAGAGCTTGCGACTCGTTTAAATTGTTAAAATGAAGGCTGCTCCTATCATGATAAGATTTTGAACAACTTGCAGGAGAGGATGGATGAAAATCCTTATTGACGAGGAAACTTTCAAACAACATAACTTGGTTTGCAACGTTGCAAACCTGTCATAATTAATTTTTTAAATGGAAAACTAATTAATGTCAATTCTTAGAATCTTCCATGATTTTTTTCTGAGTGCAAAAAAAGTTCTGGGAAAACTTCAAGGAATGAAGTTGATTTGTTCTCTTTTGAAAAAATAAAATGAGAGCGAATATTTTATAACACAAATGATAAAAATGATATGCGTTGTTTAGGAGTTTTCGCCATCAATGTAGTACCTAAATACTAAAAGAATTCCATTTTTGGACTGTATGGTTTAAGGTTTTAAATCAAAACTAGAAATGTACTTACTAAAAATGTAAAAATGTAACTAAAAATGACGATGTACGATTGCTGACAGGAAATTAGGAGTAAAAATATTGGGCAAATTTCAATATGAATCTTAACTGTTCAACATTGACAGCCAGGATTTTGCGTCTTCTAAAAAATTAACAGAAATTTCCGGATGAACTACTAGCCGGGTGGCTAATATACTTACCGGATCCATAGTTTTCCCTAGTTGCTCGAACAACTCTTGTGACACAACACAAGCTGCCTTTGTTACTTGGGACCTCAGACTTCGTATCTGTTTCGATAGGCTGGTGACTATCCTATGAAGCGCAGAAACTAAAATCTCTGGATGATAACGACAGAGTCGAACGATCCCTTGAAGACTTTGCATAACAATTTCCCTGAAACCCATTAAATTGTTGATTAGATAGATTGAAAAGATACAGCTATACAGTGAAGAGAGATGAAAACCATGAGATTGATTAATGTCTTGCCATCTGTAAAAATGTGCTGAAGTACCTACATCTTTTTTTCATGGATGAACTACCTTTGTTTCCTTCATTTTGACAAGACTGATTTTGTTATACATTATAAAAGCCAATTTCAACATGAGGTCTTGTTTGGCGCGGGTCACACGATCAAACTGAGGCTATCAAACTAGAAATATCTAAGAGCAGTGTGTTTTCGCGGACCAATCACAGATATCTTTACTATCAAAGTACTGCGGCTCGCAGTAATTTAATGGCATAGATATCTCAGTTTTCTTTGACAATAGGTACAGAGATTGGCTTGCCAAACTAATGCTCTTAGCATTTTTGGAAGTTAGTCCGTGAAGACGACGTTTTGAAAAGCGAACTGGGAAACAAGGGAAAAAAATCCTTTTCACGACAGTTATTGAAACTTTTTATGATGAATTTGTCTAGTAATTTTCTTTTACTGATTATAACTGGAATTGATTTTGTTTTCTATGATCACAATAGAACTGAAATGTTCCTGAATGAGCACCAGTGAAAATCAACATTTCCAAGTGCGGTTGAACTTCAATAACTCAAAAAATTCAGTTACATAAAGGACTTCCTAGTTTTCTGTTATTAGAGGTGTCTAAATTTGATTAATTTTAAGAACATCAAAAAAGATAAAGAGTTTTCACTGATGCATTTTACCAACCATTCGGGACTTTCAATTTGTAGAAGGCACTTTTCTAAGGCATCTTTGGGACTGTCAAAAGGTTGCAGAGTACTTGGATACAACGGTGAGCTCTTGTTTGATTTTGTTTCAGACTGTTTTCTGGAAAAAAGAAAGAAGAAATGATTAAAAAACAACAATGTCATTCATTCGGTATTATGCAAAATCCAAGCAATAATGAAGGGCTTTCCATTAGCCATTGAGACACCAAGGATTAATGCGATAAAAACTTAAGAATGGTTTTGAACTGGTATGGATTCATCTGTTTCATTTATTTCAGTGAAAATTTGACGTTGCCATCGTGGGCACTTTTAGCGTCTCTTTCATGCACAAGCGCACATGACCAACCAGTTTTAATAGCAATTAATATTGAAGACCCTTAAATGTCTAGGATAAAGAGAGCTTGCTGTAAGAATGTACCTTTGTAGAGAAGTGCTGTATCGAAACCTGTTTTCACCGGATCCATTTTTGTGCGTGAGATTATCATACGACTTTGAAAGAGGTACAGATGAAGACAGATTCTGGAAAAAAATCAAGTGATCGGAGGATTAATAAAAGCTTAAAAAAATTGTTATGCCTAAATACATTCATATTAGATTAGGAATGAGTCAGAAACAGAGGATGATTGTTGGAATGAATAGACTGATATAAAAATTTTTAGGGTAGCAATGATCATGTGTTAATGAGTTTCAGTTTTCTCTAACCCTTTAATAAATACCACTAGATACTGAAACATAATGTGTTTTCGTTTTCCTCAGCGAAATTATGGATCTTTTCAATTCATAACTTTTCCAGTGTTTATGCCTTGAATATGTAGCTAACAAAAGAGCCAAATCTTCTCCAGCTTTGCAATGCGGATTAGCTCTTCCCTATGATGAATATTTCCCATACTTCTGCGTACATACAGTAAAAATATAAAGTTTAAGAGAAAAATATGTTTAAAACAGAAAATTACTTTTGGGGAAAAAGTTTCAAACAGAAAGTTAGAAGATGGCTTACTTTCTTAACACCTATGTCATCATTACAAAAGTCTACATCGTCACCAAGTAAATTGACTGCGTGGTTCGGAAGGGGCATGAAATCTGAAACAATGAAAAAACAATCTAAAGTTCAAACAATTCGATAGGTAGTAATTCTGGGGAGGAACTGAAAACCATTCAACCCAATTCTAATTGAAAAGAAGAAAGAGGAATCAGGCGGTCGATGGTAATCAGATTGTGAAGGTGGGCTTCAGTCCATGGATCTCTTGTAAAAACTAGACCTGAAACGACAGCTGACAGAACTTACCACTCAAGTGGCTTCTTTCTACCTGGTGTAACATTCACTTTTGAAATTTGTTTTTTAACCACAGGGTTTTTCAATTACATTTTTTCCATCCATAGCCATTTATTTTATTATCAATGCTGGATCATTGAAGTTTTTCGACTTCTGCGATATTTCACGAATTCTTGAGAAAATTAGTGAGATAATCGATGATTTTCCTCCTAACTTGCATCTTTCTCAGATTGAGTCTTTTCTTTGGTTATATTGCTTGCATTTTTCATGAAGTATACAAATTACCAAGTATTCAAGTTGTTATTTTTTTAGCAACAGCATAATTTAAAGACAAAAAAACTTGCATTTACTTACCATTTTGTTGCATTGAGGGTAGGTGAGATGTGCGACCATGAATGGAGGTAGAGGCGTTGTAATGATTGCCATTTGATCTGTTTCCCGGAAAACTTGTTGGGTCGTTTGATACAATTTTCCCTAGCGGTTCAATTCTGAAAACAGAGGAAAGAAAAGACTCGATAATGAGCATCTCAGGCAAATATCATGCAAAAGGAGGCTAAAAATAGTGTTATCTAAAATATGACAGAAATATAACTTCACTGCAGACTGAAATTGATTGACACAGCGATGGACAAAGAGAAAATGGAGTGATCCAATTGATGGAAGTGGATGGTTGCAAAACGACAGAGGAGGCAAGTGATAGACTAACTGGCGGCAACCCATAAAATGCCCGATGGTTAGTCCATGGCCGGATTTACCTACTTGCCGCCATGGGCCGCCTGTATTTTGCCGCCCTCTTCTCATTTATTTTGAAACATCAATAAAAACCATCAAGTGAACGTGCCGGAGGGAGAAGGATGCATAAGACGCGTTCACTCGTGTTGGACACATTTTTTGCGTAAGCCCTGTCAACACTACTGGCAAAAATTCACGAAACTTCGCGCGGAAGTTCAGTTCCGTAAACCTATCTCTGAGGGGACAAGGCCTTTCATTTGTAAGAAATGAACTAAAAAATTAAGAAAGAACAAACATAAATGCGGTTTAATAATTTTAACTTCCGCCGCCGTGCCGCGCTGACCACACTGTGTTTGGCGCAATGCGTGAAGTATTCATGTAGTCTTGTAGGCACTGTGCGTTTCCCGCCGCGCCAACCGCTGTTGACCGTATTGTGTTTGACGCAATGCGTGAGGTATTCATGCAGTCTCGTAGGCGCTCATATGCGTTACATGCCGACCGTCGCGTCGAGGGCTTCTCCTTTTCATCTCAAGTCCTCGTCATCATTTATCTTTGCGCCGCACCGCTCCAGGCCAAATTACGTGTTTGGCTTCTCTCTTAACTCAACTGATTAAAGGTGCGCAGTCTTTTGTATCACCGAAATACGACAAAATTAGAAATTAATGAACTCTCAGGAAATGAGAGATTTTGTCACCTTTTCTTGTTTGTAATTTTTTTCTGAATCCGATTTTTTTGTACCCGAATTTAAAAAAATAGCAGAATTTGCCGCCCCCTAATTTTGCCGCCATGGGCCGCGGCCCATGTAGCCACCCCCTTAATCCGGCCCTGGGTTAGTCCATCATTTTCGCCTTTAGTCTATAACAGCCACCTGTTTCAATCAAGAGGATCGCTCCATTTCCTCTTTGTCTTCTTTGTCTATCGCTTTGTCTGTTAAGTTCAATAATCAGGCTCCAGAGATATGCGTTAGTGCATATTGTTTATGCTCTCACTGAGAAGAGCAAAGAAATACCAAGGCGATTTTTCCTCCCATGATTTGTGCCTCATGAGAAATCGAAATGCTCGGCATATCTTCACGTAAATTATTCGGGTAAAAATGATGATATTAGAAGTAAGTGCGCCTAAGTATATTGGAGGGATACTTTGATCGACAAGAGAACAGATAGGTCCGCTTGACCTGCAGCTGTTCGGTCCCAAGTTCCTTAGAGAGAAGAGGGACGACAGTTTTTACGAAAGCAAAGAGTTGTCCTTATTCTCCATATTGTACACATTAGTGAGGAGGATTCTTTTGAGGTATCAAAGAGTCCCATAAGCAGCAGCGTTACATCCTGCTCTCCTAGCTCTCCTCCTTCTCTGACTCTCATATGGACCACAAAAAATACATGCAGTGAAGAAAACATCTGAGAACTTTGGGAAACGTTGTAAATGGGTGTCGCGCATTGGCACGTACATGCTTTCAAAAGGCACAAAGTATTAAGTGGTTTGGTGTCTTAATACCGCACATTCCAAAGTTTCTTAAGTTCTAGGAGAAAATATACTAAAAGTGAAAAATAGAATCATCATGAGAAAGTTTCAGAGGTGTGATAATTTTTCGGCAAAAAGGCGATTTCTGTAAAAATAAAGGCACTGCTTTCCTCCATGATGGTTTGATCCCAAGGTTGATGGATAGGGAGTTGGTGGATTGCTTTTTTGGCATTAATAGCGTAAATACTTTGGAAGAAACTTAAAACTAACTAGGTTCTCTGATAGGTACGAGTTTTGCTAGACCTTCAATACATTAATCCAAACCCCTGACTTTTTTCTCTCTTTTTTTAAAGAAAAAAATTCTAAAGTTATCGAAACCTTCTAAGAACTAAATAAATTTATCTGTGATTAGCAATGATTCTAAACTTAAATTTTTAGTCAAATACTGGCGAGATGAAACAAAAATATACGAGTAATCAAAAATTGCATCCCAATATTGTAATACGCGGGATGATAAAATGTTGAGGACATTTTTCGATTGTAAATTGTAGGAAAAATATTTTATTATATCTCACCTATTTAAATCCACAACAATTCCACAAATGAGTGTGGTGTGAAATAAATTATGATAAATTATGCTCACTGTTTACAGCTGGGTACAGAGCGCCTTTGACTTACAAAATTTTACCAAAAATTAATGCCCATATCACTCCTCTCAAAGGCGAGTAATTTCACTTAATAATACCACTATTGTGCCTCCCGCGTGGTTACTTTTGCCAGCTTCGTGAATTGAAGGCGGATCTTTATCCTCTCTCTCATAGTATGCGGATGGTACCTTTACGCCTCAAGGTTTTGACTAGGTATCATTCATAATTTTGAGAGGTGTCATTGTTTTCTTATCCGGAAACGCAGGATGTCCTACTCTGGGTGGCGTGTCACTTTTATAAAAATAAAAGGATGCAGATTATGATTGCTGACACGATCAAGTGCATTAAAAAACTTTTGCGACGTTAGAGGATCATATGGAGGGCTCATCGCATGGACAAGGGAGTGCGTGTCATTAGAAAAAGACAAATACGTCGAATGCGGTATCAATCAATGCATCAAGACCTACTGATCGGTTTTGTTTTTTTACACTCCCGTATTTTGGCGTGTGAATTTTCAAAACTTTGGATTAAAATGCAGGATGTCTACTAAAACAGGTTGGCCAAAAATCAGTACTTTTATAGTACTTTTCCGGTCCATTTCCAATAAATTCAGTACCTCCTCATAAGAGAAATTCAGTACTTTTTCGGTACCTCCATTTGACGAAAGTCGGAAAATTTCAAAATTTTGAATTTCTCGCTCAAATTGAGACAAAAATGACCAAAAAATGAAACAAATTCCGGGCCTTTTGCGGAATTTCCGCACTGTTTCAGTACTTCCGGACCCCCCGAAAAAAATAGGTACTATTTCCGGACTTGTTGACACCCTGAAAATGTCTTAAAAAAATTTGGTGTAAAAATGATTCGAAGATTGCAAGTTGACGTTAAAATTGGCTAGAAGTCGAGACGCTGGATTCGATAAGTTTGAAAAGAATTTGGCCTCTAACTTCCAATCGGGAGGAGGGCAGAAGGAGGTAACGGTGTCTTTGAAACTGTTGAGGGTGAAATTGGCTAATATCTTTCATTCTGACACTAACATTCGTTGTCTGTCAAGTCAAAATACGTCGACCGAGAGCTTCCATGTATTTGAATAGGATTCGACCGCTAAATTCAAAATGGGAGGGGACAGTGTCTACCAAATTCAAGGGCAAACATGACTAGCTTCCGTCAATGGCATTGACTAACGGAGTAACGAGTCTAGTGACCGTCTTCTCCTTACCAAAAACCTTCCTGCTTTGACTCGATTTTTTTTCAGAAAAAAGGCTCTGAGAAAAATGTTCTTGTTGAAAATGAAGGAACCCTTATGGAATTGATTGGGATTCTCTTTAAAGCGAGAGGATATCTATTCGAAGCATCAGGAATACTGTTTGAAACAAGAAGATTTCCTGTTGTTTCAAGGAGACATTTCTGTCACGGCATACTCAACAGAGGTTTTGTTGATTCAACAGGAAATTTCCCACAGTGTAGCTGTGAACTTCCAGATTACGTAAATATGAGGGTTTCAAGCAGCACGGTTCAACTGGCCAAGTTTTTTGAGACACTGGGAAAGACTGACAATACAGGCAATATTTTACATCTATAGGATAGTCTCAGTAAAATGTGGCCACTAACCAACCCTGGAAGCAAAGGCACTGTTAAAAAGCAATTTTCAACACTTCTTGGAATTTTCGTGAGAGAAAACCCCTTTTCAGTAATATTTAAGTGAAATTCACATAAAAAAGGCTTGGAAAAACTATCGTAGATTTCCTTCAGGACTGTTAAAAGTGTCTTTAAAAACATTATGAGTGTTAAAAAACTTCGAGTTAATTTTTAAGAATCTTCTTTAAATTTTAACGTGCACTTTAACTCTCGTTCATTTCCGTGATAAAATGCCAAAAAGAGGCTTCCTTTTGCACAAATTTCAAGAGGTCTAGTTTTTTCTTCTTTCTTTTGAAAACACCCTGAGTCCCATGAAAGTTTTCATCAAATACAAGCAAAAGCTAGATCGTCAAAACGCAATGTCACCCCGTTCGGTAACCATATCAATCTGATCGCCAAAGAGAATAATTTTGCATTGAAACGATCCTGGTTTTGTTTTTCCGATACTTAGGGAACATGTTCGGTAAACGTTAGTCGGATGTGTAAGCTGAAAGCTTTTTCAAAAATGAATATTCCGTCGCTCTTCTAACATAAGGGCGTGACCGCTTTTGGAGATGAGTCCTTTCGTTCGTGTCATACCATGCTTTCCAGGGCTTATGTAAAAATAAATTTACACCCTCACATTATTAGATCCCTCATCAGATAGGTATCATACATCGATAGCTTTCTAGAGCAAAGAATCTATTACAGACTGCCAGTTTTTGGACCTTACTTTGCAATACAGAACTACTATTTTTGGCTAATCCTTAAAAGCACCTATCTGCATAGGGCACCTAAGGGCATAGGTATACGAGTCTCGACAATGAGCCAGAAATAAAGGCTTCTTAATGCAAAATGTAGTCCGGTCAATTTACGTTCAACAATAAAAGAAGGGGATATAAGTTAACGACGATTACGAGTATATTCTTCCCTTCCTGTTTTAAGTCTTTTTTATTGACTTATATTTTGTGGGTTTTATTTTCTTAATATCATTATTATTATAATAATCTTTAATTGAAATGAAAAATTCTGTG